TTACCTTTGTATACGGTGTACTGCATTCTGTTAGAGAAGTAGCAATGCAACCGGTTAGTGACGCAGTACTCAGTTTTTGTCCTAGAGAGCTTACTTAGCAAGAGACATCTAGGTACAGAGTCGAAAGCAGAAGTGAAGTTGAGAAACGTGTAACGAATGTATTTGGCACCTTTATCTAATGATGAGACGATACTGTTGTGTAAGACGGTTGCAGCGTCTAAAGTGCTCCTACCCTGTCTATAGGCAAATTATTTGGGGTCTTCAAAGCTTTTAAGGGAGGGTTCAAGTTTAGGAAGTGACTTGATATTGCGAACTCTTTGAAGACACGTGATCGTTGACACATTGCACAATTTGATTAATGGTGATTAGCAGAGCAATTTAGGATGTTGCTTTCATCTTATCTGGGATTCATCAACTGAGTATTTCTCCATATCTGGTATTCTGACTGAGGCTAGAACCCAGAACTCATAGTTTCAGATGCTGTTAGGTGACTACAACCACCCCTTATAGTAGAGAAAATGCAATTTCGCAGAAATTTTTTATTTTTCCAAGCCTTTTTCTGTTGATTGTGGCTAGCAGTGGAATGCAGAACACGCGTTTTCTCCGTTATTTTCCCACTAACCTACTCGATAATACTTCATCATGATGGGTGCTGAATGTGAATCTCAGTAGAAACATCATCAGTCGTTAAGAGTGTAGTTACGTCCATCTGACAGGAAGGATGGAATTAGCATCCTAGACTGTACCACTAGTCACCATAAATTAAACAAATTAGTATTGTGATGAGAGCTGGCTGCTAGCCAAAGCTGGTAGACAGTAATTGACGTCAGTGTTTATGTCCTCAATATTGGTGGTGAGAGACGAATAACTGTAGACCTGAGGCTAGCGCCCGCTCATGCCACAGCGGCAGTTCTGCTTACCAAAAATGGCCCACTTTGCACTCACATTCAATGCAAAACTCCATTTAAGTGAGTTAAGCTTCTCACCCATTTAAAGTTCGAGAATAGGTTGAGGATGTTTCCTCCCCAATGCCTCTAATTATTCGCTTTACCGGATAAAACTGTTCCAGAATGCCAGCTATCCTGAGGAAACTTCGGAGGGAACAAGCTACTAGGTCGTTCGATTAGTCTTTCGCACCTATACTCACGTTATACGATCGATTTGCACGTCAGAATCGCTACTGTCCTCCACCAGAGTTTCCTCTGGCTTCAACCATCGCAAGCATAGTTCACCATCTTTCGGATCTCAACATGTACGCTCTTGCTATGCCCCGACGGTGTACATAGCATAAGGCCACATATCTACATCATGGGAAGGGCCGGTGATGCGCCTGCTGCTCGCAGCTTGGAATTAATGAGCAAAACAACAGGATCTCACCTCAGCCTGGACAAGCCAAACCTTCACTGCGCCTAGTCTATTCAATAAAAATGTATGTGAAAAGACGCCATTTATCTTAAGGATGTGATGTACTTGAGCAGTCTAACCATAAATATCTACTTGTCAAGTCAATTCATGTAAAAAAAAATTGAAATAAACAAAATGATAAGGGCTTTACGAGTAAGGATGATAATCAAGGATAATAAAAATTGTCTTTGTGTATACAGGTGGTGAGACATGCTTAAATTTATAGACAACTATGGCCAAAGCTTATTTCACTATACACCCCATTAACGGCTTTTGTAGATAATCTTGAAAACTGTTTGACAGTGAGCCTGTTATTTGTACGCATCATGTGTTTTACTGTGGAGGAGTTTGATAGTCTGACACAGTTCAATAATTCTTCAAGACACCTGGGTATTTATGTTCTCTAACCATCATGTGTGGCGTGCAATTACGCCTCCCTTTATGTGTTTAGCCACGCACATACAGATTTAAACGGGCATACAGAATACAGTGTGACATAATGATGTAATCACTTGTGAGGCTTGTTGTGGACCATGCTGTTGACTTCTTCGCTGACACTGTAGGCCAAACTGTATAGTAAGTTTTACAGGTGATATAATTTAGTCTGTCTTAAAATCCTACAACTTATTTCCCCATAATAAGGTTAATTGATGTAAATGCACTTCTTTCGGACAGAATAAACTATAGACTTTTAAACTAATTGACCTTAACGCCCGTTAAGAAACTCCGAAGGATGTTCATCTTCAACAAGAGTATCCGTCAGTATTTCACATTCACTATCTATGCAGTGAGTTGTACAAATACTCTGAATCCTTTTAAATAAGAATTTTATCAGGCATCTCTTGTATTTTAATGGACGGAAAGTGTGAAAAATGTCCAGCTACGCTTTATGTAAGTGGACTGCATTATTAAGTCCTTCTCTCCTTGAGTCAAAGTGCATCTAGGAATGCAAGTTGGTTGTAACTTCCTTCCTCACATGTAACATCTTGATGATTTTGTACAGAGTTAAGTCTGTCCAGTGGATCCGTATCATCTTTATCCATATTACATGTGTCACAGTAATATCATCGGAGTATCTCCTATGTAAAAGCGCTTTCGCGATCAAATAGCCAGGCAGATTTCCAATGTAAGACGTACATATCAGCCAACAATAGTATTAGGCAACTTTCTGTAGAAAAGCCACTCGCCTATCGACCGTTCTAAGCTTCAGATGTGAAGTGGACGTTGTCAATACATAATAATAATAAATGAAATACGTAAGAGGAATTAGGAATAAAAGACAACTAGAAGATATGTAGTAGCAAGGAATGTCAACAGTCCTAATTAAATGTGCCTTATTAAACGAACGAGAGCATTTTTGTCTTTTATATTCATGTCAGCAATTTCAAAAGTATCTTCCAAAGACAAATTATATAATTCGCTACTTATTCGGTTTTATGTAGTGTATAGACTAACTGTTTGCCATTTTATTTGTGAGAAAATGACACAGGGACAGAATAGACTATGTTGAATCGTCAGCTTTATGAATCTTGGGTAATCCATAGAGGTGTGGGAAGTCAGATCTTATGGGTTCAGAGGACCAAACTCTTCTTTGTCATTAAAACCCATGCTGCAAAATTCCACTAAATGAGATGTTACTTTTTCTTCTAATTTTCTAACATCATCAAATGGGACTTAAGCTATGAATTTACGTTTTTCACGAGAACAGAAATGTTGTTGTCCCATAATCGCAGTTATCCGCCACAACTTCACCTAATCCTTTGTAAGATGATAGGATGATCATATCGGACCTACAATATAGTTCTTTAGGGCTCTGAAGTGCATCGAAGTCAAAAAAGTTTTTTTTCTCCTGTCTGAATTACAGAATTTATGTGCTACACCAACAAAATTAGCTTTCACTCAGCTCTGGTCCTCTGTTGAGGGAATAAAATCTCAGCTGATCATAGAAATTTTCAAATTGGTAATCGATAGCTAAACCAGGAATTTCCGTTGGAGATATAGTAAGTAATATTCCTAGGGTATGATATAAATTAGCTCACGCTGTCAATAAAAGTTGGATATGTTGTTCTAATGGTTATTTTTTCATGCATTAGGTGAGGAAAATTTTTAAGTGAAGGGTGAATGTTGTAGGCACTTCAATTAATACTCCTTTACTTTTTGGAAGCATATCATAAATTATAAAATATTTCACAGTTTAAAATAGAGTCATGACTTATGGTTGTGTTCGGTTGCTTCGAGTTTGGTCAAACTTGTCGCTTTCCCTACGAAAGAGTGGCAAATGATTACATTTAACATAGTGGAGATATTAATAGATATCAGAAAGTTGTAGCATAATAACTGACCCTCAAATTAGTAGTGCACAAAAGCACTGGTTGAGATTAATATGCCCTATTAGAGAATCCGGGGATTTGGGGCAGTCTCAGGGTATTCAAGATATATAATGCACATTCCCTAAATTTTCGCTCAAATGTTTACGTTGATTTGCCATCGTGACCATTAAATTACACACAAACTGTTTACTTGGGTGTTTCTGCAGGAAATAGTTAAAGCCAATGACCGTTCTCTCTTTCTACAGACGGTCTATGGTGCCTGTTTTAGCAGTCATATAAATCCATTCCAACTACTATAGTCAATCATTCTAAAATGAAATGAATTCAAACCAAAAGACTTACTGGTGCGTATAATATGAAATAAAATTTTTATTATAGGACTAAAAAAGTCTAAGAGTTTGCAAATTTTATTGACTTAATTACTAGCAGTAAACCACCATAAATTGTTGCTTCTATAGTATTTCTTCAATTCACAAATAAGTAAGATTTAAAAGAGCTTTTTATTCTGTTTTGTGGACTTACCACCGCAATAATATTAACGAAATCTGGAGCGTGTTTTATCCCTTCATCTAAAGTGCCGTATACTGTATATCCCTGAATAACACCTGATGGCTTGGTTTCCTCTTCGTTTTCCTCCTCCGTAGCCTCTTCATCTTCATTTTTCGAGGATTTTCCCACTGTGAATTGTGTCAAGAACTAAGAATAAAGGATTGCTAAATTTCAATACCTGTGCGATACTATTGTTGCTGCTATATTTTGACTGAACTAGAATACACGTATATCTTAGTACTTCTTCGCGTTTATATTTGTGTCCTAACGTTGTGATTACTCGACATCCACAACGTAATTCAAAAGGCACTTGCGAAGGAATACGATAGTGTATTATTGCAGCAATCAACAATTCAAAAATCGAGCGAGTACAAAAGTATCAATTGTTAAGATGCAAGATTTAGAGTAATAAACAAATCGAAGTACAATTACACAATGAAAGTACAGTACGATTATGAGTAATAAAACGGGTCACTACAATAGCCCCTCCGTAGAATGCAGGTAAATAAAGTTTACCTGTATTCGGAATGATATTGTAAATTACAAGAACAAAAAAATATGAAAACCGAATTGAGGCTTTTAAGTTTTCTGAGGTTCGATTATAACTGTATATATTCGAAAATGTTAACAACTTTGAAACGAATTAAAATGTGTAGAAAGTTGTGCAACATGTAACAATAAAAGCAGAAAAGTTATTATTAGAATAATAATGAGGTTGTTATTGGTAAGAGTTACAGAATAGATTTATATCTTAACATACAGTTAATAGTATAGTAATAAAGAAGTATGGGAATGACTTGGGTAAACATTCAGTTACCTGTATTTCCATGAAAGTTGGTTGTACAAGTGGAATTGTACAAGAAGAGATGGCTGTGCCAGAGAAGAGTGCAGCAGTAGCTGCTGCTGATACGGTTGAAAGTGAACGTCCGTCAGCATATTGTTGCTGTTGCTGGGGTGTTGTTACTCGGCGTTGAGGAGTAACTTGAATTGATGTTTGCTGAGGTTGGAGAGTAGAAGTTGGTTGATTGATAGCTATTCCAACAAGAGCAGTTGGCACAAGCTGTGGTAAACCAGTGCTTTGAATCAGCTGACCGTTAGGAACAACAGTCAAAACGTTTAATGGAGCTCCTGGTGCCAGAGTGATAAACTGGGGAGTAGCATAGGAGCGTGCAGTTACAGTACCAGGTTGACCACTGACAGGGACGTCAGTTGCCATCATTGTTGGTTGTTGCTGATGTTGTTGGATATAAGTTGGCTGTTGAGCTGGTTGTAACTGATGAGCTTGTGCTTGAATCTGTTGTTGTTGAGGTGATTGGGTAAACTGTTGTAATTGAACAGCTGTAGGACCAGTTTGAGTAAATGGAGTTGCAGACCATTGTAAGAGTGTTTGCACACCTGTAGACAATGCTGAAGCTTGAGGACAGAGAACTGGAATTGAGGTGTTTCATAACAGCCAGCTTCTTGAGTATCAGGGTGAACTGGGATAGCAGTCGCTGTGCCGCCAGGTCCGGAGGTACTTTTAGTAGAAATATCAGTAATTATACATCCAAATGTTATGAAGTTATAAAAGTTGATGCGATGGCAAAGATGATTTATTCCACTGTGTATACTTCGAAATGATGTAGTCCATCAATCAGCTATGTCGGGCTCGCCAATTTGTTGCTGCTTCATTTTGACTGAACTAGCGTATACACATATCCTAATACTTCCTCGCGTCTACAATTGTGCCCTAACGTTGCGATTACTCGACATCCACAACGTAATTCAAAAGGCACTTGCGAAGGAATACGATAGTGTATTATTGCAGCAATCAACAATTCAAAAATCGAGCGAGTACAAAAGTATCAATTGTTAAGATGCAAGATTTAGAGTAATAAACAAATCGAAGTAGGCTGAAATTATCCCGCATGCTCAAGGTCATTGATGGAGTGAGACGCTCAAAGGTCATTTTCGTCCATGTTAGTTGGTTATGTTGGATTGCAGTTCCGTAGCCGTTCGTTTACACATTGGTTTTACGTTCTGTTGGCATTTATAGGTGATTCTCATGTACTGATAGCATTCTTTTGTAAAATAGTACTGTTCTTCACACGAAAATAGCCACATTTTGACGTAGTCTTCATTGAATGACACTATGTCGAAAGCTGCAGCTTCTACAAGAAATAAACTATTTGTGTAGATGACATTACCCACCAACTACCCCATCTTCTTCATTTTAGAGATGTTTTGACGCATTCAGCATGAAACACTAATCATTACAACCAATATACTAAGTGTGTCGCAGTCAGATTACATGACGCGGACACCAACATAACTAATCAGGAAATGAGAATTCCTATCCATCCGGAAAACATATAACAAAATTTTATCAAAAATTATTGGCAAAAAAAATCTGCCGAGCGAAATTTCAATCAACATGCCGGATAAGTCCAGCCATCGAAGTACAATTACACAATGAAAGTATAGTACGATTATGAGTAATAAAACGGGTCACTACACTATATTCATCGTATCTGTTAATATTAGCAATAAAGACCTTTGGACTTTTCAATGTATCCATTTCCGTTTTGAAAGTTCATGTTATTCGTCGTCATAACGATGAATTTCACGGGTTCCAATATCCAATATTGTTTATACGAGATGAAGTAATTACTAAACCAAGAATTAATATCGTAAAAGATAATTAAAATACAAATCCAGCATACAATAATTGTCTGATTTATGTAATTCGAATCCAATATATCCAATATCGTTTTTACGAGCTAGTATAAACCAATTTGATTTCTTTGTGCTCGCCTCTTGATTGTGAGGTATACGTTCCTGATCTTCAGTAAACCTCTGAGTAGCTCGTCCCACCCCACTCGACTGTCGTAGCTTTGTTTGACTCCAAAATGAGTAGTGCTGGGATTAATTATATTTGGTTTGTAGAATGAGGTGTGTTAAGACTGTTACTACTGTGAATGGAGTTGGTCCTCCGATGTCGTCGTCAATAGAAAAGAGATAATAATAATAGATATAATTAGTGAAGGTATTCAGAATAACAGATAGAAAAAGAATAAGAAACGTAACAACAGTCAGTCAACCGGTATATGTATGTATACCGGTAATAATGATAATAATAATAGGTGTAGTTAAAGCTGTCAGGAGAGCAAGACTGAAGAGAATGTGAAGAAGTAAAACGACCAGTTTAACTGTCTACCTTTGAATGGTGTATGCGATTTTAAGGGGATAGGCCATTTGGATGCAGTCCTTGTGTCGCTGCATGGTTGTCCAGCCTTCGCTTAAAGGCGTCCACAGATGGTGCCATAGCTACATCTGCCGGTAAGGAATTCCAGGGACGGCACACCCGCAGGGAAAAGAAGTGGGAGCGCACCCGGGTCCTTGCCCTCTGATGAGCTATCCTTCTAGGATTTCCACGAGGGAGCCTATACCTACTCAATGGCAGAACACCTTCGTTTGAGTGATACTGATCATTTGCTATTTTGTAGGCAGTATTCAAATCCCCCCAAAGGCGAAGGTAACTGAGTGTGAATAGGCCTAATTTCTTCAGCCTTTCCTCATATTGTTTGTTTCGGAGACCAACCACTCCTTCTGTTGCCCGTCTTTGGACTCTTTCCAAGATGTTGGCGTCTCTTCTAAGCAGTGGGGGTGCAATAATATTATGCACTTCAAGATGCAGTCTGACGTATTTTATATACAACCTTAGAAGGAGCTCAGGAGTGAGTGCACCTAGCTCTCTATGTGTAAAGTGTATGACCGCATATGCCCTCGCCACATCCCCCGTTTAATTTACGCTTGTGTCCATTTTCTCCGTTAGAACTAGACCTAAGTCACGTTCCGACGTTGAGCAGGACAAGCTTCCATTGTACAGGGTGTAACTTGCATTCTGCAGTCTACAGGTGCGTAACTTCACTACTTTGAAATTTTTCACGTTGAAAGTCATGCCACTGGCCATCGTTCAGTCTTCCAGAAGGTTTAGGTCTGCCTGCAGTCTATCTGAGTCCTCCGGACACTTTATCGCCCCCCCATATCTTCACGTCATCAGCGTATAGAAGAGTCGGGCAGCTTAGACGGCATGGCAGATCATTGATAAAAATCAAAAACATCAGTGTTCCTGGGATAGAACCCTGCGACACTCCTGATGACGAGTTGTGCCAAGATGATCGGACTCGATTGACCTCAGTGCAAAATTGCCTTTCAGTTAGGTAGTCATTTACCCATGGGAGAAGTGGCCCACCTATATCTGCCTGACTTATTTTGTGTGGGAGAAGGTCATGGTTAACAGTGTCAAATGCCTTCTCGAAGTCTGAGTAGACCACATGGATGGTTTGAGTGGAGTGAGTAGACAGCCATGGCAAGAGAGAAGGCGAAGCTACCAACAGTGTAGTGTATTTCAAATTGCACTCGGAAGTTATACGTATTTCAACATAAATAGTTTTAAACAAGAGTCATATACAATGCTTCTAATTTCAACATCTAACCAAAAAGTGTACAAACATATGGTTAGGTACTCCACACACGCGCCTTAGTAGGACCAAATGGTCAATATTTCACTAGTCTGGATATGGCGGGAACATAAAGTTAAGCCTTCACCATACAGTCAAACAGCGATGTGAGTATTACCGGTACGGACCAAAATGGAGAAGTTACTACTTCACCGGAAGAAAACCTAGTGGTTACCCCCCCCCAAATAAGCCCGGCAATAGTACCAAGGAAGCTACAGCAACTCACACCTGGGAAGTCCCCAGGTTGTGACGACGTCAGGCCATCTGTTCTGAAACAGTGCACCGAAGCTCTCTGTGAGCCCTTACGCAACTTGTTCCAACACTCAATGGAATCGGGGAAACTGCCAAGGGAGTGGAAAAGAGCCATCATTTCTCAGATTTTCAAGCGTGGGAACAGGAAAAATGCCACCAGTTATAGACCGGTGCGCTACTCCCAGTGGTATCAAAAGTACTGGAAAATATTATTGATCATCACATCAGGGAGCACCTTGATAGTACTCCTGGACTATATGGAGCGCAACATGGTTTCGGGAACGGCAGATCCTGTTTAACAAACCTACTATCAGCTTCGGACATTATGGTGGGATTTGAATATTCCTATCCACGTCAACTTGATGATCATTTGCGAGGAGTGTTAATCGCGGCAGATAGATAGCCAATCAATTTGATGTGACTGCAGTATTATCTTTGTCCTACAGATTTAGTCCTTCCTCAATACTGACGACACAGAGCCTGGGCTTAACTATAGTTAAAACAGAATGACTTGACTTTAACTTTATCTGTTTCTAAAACATAAAATAAACCATACAATTACACCAAGAAAAATGTACAAATCCACTGTCATTACAAAAATAGGACAAAAACGTACCGAACAGTATTGAGGGTACGGACAAAATGAACAGTCAGTTAATTACATGTATACACAAATAGAGTGACAGACAAAAAAGAACATTCAAGGTCACCATCACGTGGTGTAAGTTACATTAATTGGCCAATAATCGAGACAAAAAAGGTCACATAATATTGATCGGCTGTTTATCGTACAGTCTATCAATCTGTCGCGATTAACACTCCCCGCGAACGATCACCACGTTGACCTTTCGCACCTGGAACCATAAGGTTGTCTGCTTCTTCCAACAAACATACTCTTCTTATATCTTGTTCCACTTCTTGAGTTAAAGTTTTCAAACACACTGTCCTGACGCGGCCATCTTGGTCATAGTACACCTGCTTAACTATAGCCTTTCGCCAGAGGCCTCTCTGTGTGTCAGCACTGTTAACTAAGACGAGATCATCAGGTTGTAGTTTGTGCTTTATATCCAACCACTTAGATCTTGTTTGCAGCATCAGAAGATATCCACGTAGCCATTTATGCCAGAGCAAATCAGACAAATATTTTGGAAGTAGTTGACTATAGTGTTGGAAGAAAGCATATCCATACATAGCATTCGTTTTACCTTTGTAATATTGTAATTTTCTGAGGTATTCACCAATTGCTGAACGAGCCACAGTTAAAAGTCTTTTTGGATCCAAGGAAATACACAAATCAGATGCATCGTCCTCACCGACTACTTTATGTGTACGTCCCATAGAATCGTCAGCTTCAATCAAAACTTGCAGAATCGCATAACGAGCACAATAATGTGCTTTACACCATGATCCAATGTCATCAGCATTTTCTCCTGCAGAATAAATCTCCATGGAAGTTACAACTGAAGGAATCATTGACAACCAATTAATATAGACTATATCTGAGACATCGCCTTGAGCACAGTCGGTGTTCAGACCGAACTGCTGCAGAACAAGAGGTAAATCAGATAAATAAATTCCAACGCACTCAGCTCGACACTTATCTATTGCAGATGGAAGGTTTGGAAACTTGCTGTCATACGTTCCTCCTGGTTCACACCAACCTTTTACAGGACCTCCATTTATGACATATTCAGTAGTTTTCGTGTGGAAATTTCGTTTTCCATAACAATCACGCCAAAACAGTTTACCTGAACCATATCCCATCAGTTCATGAAGTCCAACTTGTAATTCAAAGGAACTTTCAGCATGTTCCACGTACATTTGCTTCTCTTCATTACGTAGAAATTCTGGTTTAGGATCCTCGAGACGAACACTAAGTACATTATTCAAAGAAACATTTTTAAATCCATCAACTTGTCGTACATCATCATAGTTAGGAATATTGGTTCCAACAGGAATTCCAGAAGTTTCAAACGTCACTACATCCAAACTAGTAAAGTCTGGCTGTGAGAAATTAACTTTTTCAAACGAATAAGGCCATGGTAAACTTGTTAACAACCTTTCAGCATTATTCACAAGCCGTTGGAA